AGAAGGGTCTAGGCCTTCCTGCTCCTCTGATGCTGCTTGGCCTGCTGTGTTCATCCAGCTTTACACCTTGTTATCTCAGATTCTCCAGCATCTGCAGTTCCTACTATCCAAGAAGCAGAGAGCATTGGTTTGATTAATTGTGTTCTTTCTTTCCTCCTCTTATTTTTGCTTTTGCTTTCTTTCATCTTCTCCCTTGAAGGTAATTTCTTACAGTGCATGAATAATGTTTGGAATAATTTACCAGCCAGGATAAGTGGGGCAAAATAGTGGGTCATCTGAAAATACTGCACATGTACTTGTAAGATGGGCTCAGTGAGCTGAACAACTTTCATCATCCTGATTGTTGTTATGCAAGTATGTAGTATAATCACAAATTAAATCAAACGGAAGGGGCTCAGAAAGATTTAAAAGACTCTCGGTCATTCTCCAATGTGTGGACAATATCAGAAGACAATTAATAGTCACCAAGTGAAGAAAGGTTAGGATTTTGTTCCTATTAGTGCCCTTGCTGTCACTGTTGTCCAGTGCCTCGTGATCTTGATTATATTGCATTACTGCTGCATTTTTCTTCACTGTGAAAATGACTGGGAATGTAGCCAAGGCTGAAATAGCTTAAAGCCTGTGTTTTGTTGCAGATCCTGAGTTGGAGGATAAGCCATCGCTTAGATACAAATGCCACACTGCAAAGAAGTTGCTAATGAAGCGGACATTCCTGACTGAGAAGAAGGAAGGAGAAGAGAGCACAGGTTTGATTGATTCTGTTTTATCTGCCTCCCTCCTTTACACTCTTTTTCCCCTAAAGGGAACTGTTCATGAGTACAGCAACCCTTGTGATCTCCCATCTATGTCTTGTTTCCTACTGAACATGGATATCAGCGTTGGAAATAAGCTTTGTCCTACCATCCTTCAACAAGTACGTGTGTACTTCTAACAGGGGCTGTTGAACCTGTCTTTTAAGGCGCTTAATCCATAAGAAGCAGAGGCACATTGTGGTACAGTAACCATCTTTCTCTTAAAAATGCACCAGTACCACAGACAGTTCCTCAAGTCTCCCAAACGTTTCCTTCATATTTCAAAATTTGGATTTTTTGTCAATCTGTCAATAGTTATCTGTCATTTAAATTATTATAAGCTCGCAATACTGGAGTTATAAATCATTAAATTAAGTTGTGGTAAAGTTCTGCAGTACAGTACTTGACTCAGACCACATGTGACCCTTGACCACCATGTGGTCCAGATATGCACGATAAAGGGAAACATTACCTTGTTGGAGGCTGCGCAGACAGGGGTCAGAGGCTGCTCCCTACCAACTGGGTTTTGTAAATTGACTGGGACAGCTTGGAGGTGATATTTAACCCGGCAGTATACAACCTCGAAAGGAGAGAGGATCTCAAATCTTTTAGTTTTTGATTCTTGGAATGTGAGCATTTCTGACTGAGGAACATTTTGATGCGACTAATGTCAAGGGACATTTAAGATTAAACTGCATGAGGATGGGATTAGAGTTACACATTGTCGAGATGGGTGAAAATAACAGGCTTCCTTCCTCAAAAGCCATCAGTGAAACAGCTGGGTATGGCACCCAACAGCTTCATGGTCACATATGAATATTAACTATTAAATTCAAGATTTTGTTAAACCAAATTTAAAATTTACAAATTGCGATGGTGGGATTTGACCATAACATTATCTGGTTTATTAATTGTTGGTTCTGGATTGTATTGTATGATCAACATATCACAGAATTTTCACACTGTATTTAATCCACAGATTTGGGCTTTGTGCTGAATCTCTAAAGGAGCATCTCATTTACTGCCTTCTCCCTGTAATCATGTTGATTTCAAATAACTATCTAATTCCTTTCTGAATACCGTATTTGAACCTGCCTCCACCACACTCTCAGGCAGTGCATTCCAGATCCTAGCAACTCACTATGTGAAGAAGCTTTTTCCTCCTATCACTTGAGTTACCTTTACAAATTATTTTAAATCTGTGCCATTTTATTCTTGATCCTTACGTAAGTGGAAACATTTTACCCCTATTTATTCTATCCAGACTCTTTCAGATTTTGAAATACTTCTGTCAGATAGATAACTTCTCTGCTTTCTGTATTTCAAAGAAAAGAGTCCCAAACTCTCCAGTCTATCTCACAGCTGAGATTCTTCATGCTCGAACCACAGTCATAAACCTCTTCTACGCTTTCTTCTTTGCCTTTACTTCATACCTAAAGTGTCTTTCAGAACTAGATGCATACTCTGAGGCTGACTTAGTGCCTCACACAAGTTTAACATAACCTCAGCAGGTCTGGCAGCATCTGTGAAGGAAAAAATAGAGTTAACGTTTCGGGTCCGGTGACCCTTCCTCAGAACGGTTCTGAGGAAGGGTCACCAGACCTGAAATGTTAACTCTGTTTTTTCCTTCACAGATGCTGCCAGACTTGCTGAGCTTTTCCAGCAACTTTGTTTTTGTTCCTGATTTACAGCATCCGCAGTTCTTTGGGTTTTTATTTAACATAACCTCTTTGTTCTTGTACTCTGTGCCCTGTTAATAGATCCAAGGATACTACGTGTTTCATTGGCTGCTCTCTCAACCTGTCCTTCCATCTTTTTTGACTTACGGACATATATACCCAGGTTCTTCTAGAGTTGTACTCTTTTTGTTATATTGTGTCTCCCTGTTCTTCCAGCAAAATGTATCAGCTTGCACTTCTCTGTGTTGAATTTCAACTGCCATCTGTCCACCCACACTTCCAACTTGTCCATGTCCTTTTGAAGTGATGTACTATACTCCTCACAATTTATATTGCATCCAGGCTTTGTATCAGACATAAATTCTGAAGGTATATTAAACTGACAGGAGGACAAACACTAACGAGTGTAATTTAAGATAGATATCAAGAGATTCTATACATTGAGTATGATCCATATGTGGAATAGACTTCAGGTAAGGTAGTGGAAACCTGAAGTTTGGAATTCGTTTAGACACCTTTGGACTATAATGAATGAAAACAATACTTTTGTTTCTATAAAGACCTTTCACAATGTCAAGCTGACCCAAGGGGTTTTACTGATAGTCAATTAGATGTAATATGTGCACTGCTGTAATTTATGACAGCTTTGAACTATAATGAATGAAAACAATACTTGTGTTTCTTTAAGACCTTTCACAATGTCAGGCTGACCCAAGGAGTTTTACTGATAGTCAAATAGATGTAATATGTGCACTGCTGTAATTTATGACAGCTTTGAACTATAATGAATGAAAACAATACTTGTGTTTCTATAAAGACCTTTCACAATGTCAGGCTGACCCAAGGGGTTTTACTGATAGTCAATTAGATGTAATATGTGCACTGCTGTAATTTATGAAACCCAGCAACAAAGCAATGTTTTGGAAACATTAATGCAATAAAAAGCACAAAGTCACTGCAGCACAGAAAGAAGCTATTCAGTCCATTGAGTCCATGCCAGATAATCTGTTTTTAGTGGCATTGGCCAGGGCACTGGGAGAAATTCCTTGCTTTTCTTCAAAATATTATCGTGGGATCTTTTACATTCAGCTGAGGGGCAGATGGGGACCTCAGGTTAATGTCTCATTCGAAACACGGTACCTCCAACTATGCAGTGCTCCTTCAGCACTGACTTGGCATGTCAGCATGGATATATGCTGAGGTTCTACAGTGGGACTTGAACACATAACTTGCTGATTCAGAAGTGAGAGTGCTCCCTACTGAGCCTCAGTTGACAGTGAGGGTTCTATGGGTTTTTATTCTGGCTGACTTAGTTAGAATGAACCATGTGAACTGCCTCATAAGTGTCCACCAATAGAACACTACATTCTGTAAAAGCTTGGTTGTTTTGGATTCAGATATTTAGAAATGACTGTGTTCTTTCTCCAGGAGGGGTGGAGTATTTGAAGATCAAAGAAAATGATTTCACACGAAGAGCTGGTCTGATTTGCAGTTTCCTCCCAAACCGCAGCAGTTCGAAGGATGATGGTGGCAGAGCAACTTCCAAAGGGGCCCTCAATCCTTTGGCAGTTCAGGACAAGGAGCTGTCAAATGCCAGCTCAGGTTCAGAGGCTGAGGCCAGTGACCATGAAAGTGCAGACCTATGCCAAGAGCTGGAAAGTTTTACAGATGACCATGCTGGTGTGGGCTGTGAAATGGAACCAGATCCTAACAGGAGTGTAAGGGAACTTGAAGAGCAGAGATCCATGGAACAAGATGGGAAGTGAGCAACTGCTTTCTTCTCTATTCTTACTGAAGACAACATTCCTAACTATTTCATTCCATTGGAAACCTCCCCTCTCTTCGTGAAGGTGCTGTTACTTGCTGCTGTCACATTGCCATAGCACTGACAGTTCCCCAATTTGTTACCTAACCACAATAACCATGGCAATAACTATTAGCAGGCTGTATGACCAGAGTTTATGTGGGCAGACTGGTCCTGTTCATTTATGCATGCACTCTGGCAAGAATGTGATTATGAGCTGGAGACAGCGTAAGAAATCTTAATCATTTTTTAAAGTTGAAATATGTTCGGTATTGCTTGTGGTTAGATGGAGTATTTTAAAGTAATTGGTAGCTGTTCAGTGTTAAGGCTGTGAATTTTCATTTGTGAATTGATGAATATCTACATACTAAAATTTCAGATTGGAAACTGGCCTGGCATTAACTCTTGGATTTGGCAATACTTGTTTGATTAGTTAACACCCAAAGAAGGTACATTATGTTTCTCCAGTTGAGCAGGGCTGGAAGTTTTCTCAACAAATTCTGAGGTTTTCCGTACACTTCCTTCTCCTGCCTAGCCTAAGTCACTTAGCATAATATTCCAGAAGTAAAGGAGAGGACTGAAGGGTTGATGGAGCAAAGATGTGCAGATTGCATTCCATTCCTGATGAGTTTACGTTCTCTAATTTTTGACGTAAACAGTGTGAGTAGCATAATGAATTAAGAACCTGAGACTGTAAAGAATTATTCAGCACGTGGGCTGCAGTTCTTCAAGAAGGTGTTTCAGAACTCTCACTGTTCTTTCTTTATTTTTATTCATTTTTGGTTTGGAGCTGTGAACTGTGAGCTGATAAATGATGGTGACATTTGAGCTGTGAGCAGTAGCTTGTTTTTGTTTAAGAGAAGAACAAAGAAACTTATTAATTTATGAGGCCAGGCCTGTAAGTTATTTGCAGGTTGATTCACGTTCAAAGAGTACTGTAGACATTTTTGTTCCAGAGAAGCGTAATGCTCAACGAGATGGCAGGCATATGAATGTTAACAGGCGCCATCACAAAGAGGCCGGTGCCAAGCAAAATAACAAAGAAATATTGAAAAATAAACAGAAAGAGAAACCAAAGTTTGAACTGTTTTTTTTTGTCAGAAGGACTATGGCTGCCAAAGCTACAGAAAGGAAAGCTGATTGCTCCCTGGTTATCCCCCCACTATCAATTCGTTGAAAGGTCAGAGAATAGTAAATGTTGTAAATACTAAGTGAGTATTCCCCAGAGGCTACTGGAAGCTATTTGCATTGATCGGTGTCTACGGAAACCAAGATCCTGAAGACAACTGAACTAGCTGGTTACATCACTTTTATTTTTCTTTTGATATATCTATTAACTGTCTTTGAGTGGAGGCTAGAATCAAAGAAGATTGGTATAAATCATAGACATTAAATTAGTTTATCTTTGCTAAAGCTACTGTGTTATTAGTAAATTGTTAATTATTTTGTTTAAGCTATAAGCTTGCTGTCTCTCACTGGTTTTTCAAGAAGTTGGTTAGGAACCATTAGGGCAATTTTGAGGGTCGAGAGTTTTGATTTTACTGTGTTTTGGGATGCCGGGATAAAAAGACTAATTTGATTTTTCTGTCTGTCTCCATATCATAACTGGAGATCTACCATCTTTCTTGAGGGCAGCTTGGGGTTGGGCAATACATGCTGGCCTTATCAGTCATGCCCATATCCCAAGGATGCAAACTTTTTAAAAAAATTCCAGTATTATTTCTGTAATAGAGTGGTGGGTTATTTCAGGCTGAATAGAAATCTGGAGCTTCCATGCTTGCACCATGATTAAGAGAGCTACCACCATAGGGTGGCAGCATTGAGCTACAATTTTGCTCCTTGCTTGCCTTTGTTGTAAACTGGAGTCCTGAAATTCCTTCAGAGTTAGTAGGAACTGCAGATGCTG